TTCCTCATCATCATCAAACTTAAGAGTTATACTTGTAACTTTTTTAACTGCGTCAGCGGCCTAACGGTTATACTTCGTTTCAGTCCATTTCCAAAAAATGTAAACAAACAAGTCACTGACCCGACCCGACCGTAGACGGTTTAGTGATGGCCAATTGTTAATGCCAACTACAAATCGATTAATTAATTGAATGAATCGATTTGTTTTCCCTACATAACCTATTAAACATATTTAAAATTTCTGAAAAATCCGTAAACTTTGATACTCGGTCGATTGCGATTGAAATATTCGATTACACAAATTTTAATTGAATGAACCGAATGGTTTTTTTTCGTACACCACTATGCAACTATAGACAAGTCATAGATGTATAGATGAAAAATAACCTCACTTTTGGACTACCATTTTTCAAATATAATTTTACGATGCTATTCAAATAAATATTGTTAGAAAAAGTTATGAGATATTAAATCGAAATCTTCTAAATATACGTGAAAGTGTTACTTATTCGATTTATTGAGTGATTGTTTTAGAATTTTAACCGAACAGTTTGGTTTACTTTTTGTTGAAAATAGATTGGAACAGACTATTCCCTATATTCGATCCCTTTGCCGGGAGAAATATTTATATGGCCTACATTTATTTCTCTCGTGAGTTTGGGTGTAATTTGTGATTGTCTATGTGTGTGTCCATGGCACTCGCGACACAGGGTTTCCCTTTGCGGGGCTATGTTGAGTGTGTGCGTTATTCTTATTACCTATTGTTATATTATTATTATACTCTTGTCGGTGGAGCATCTTTCAGTCATCTCTCTTATAAGCCAACTCTTGACTATAACCATCCTATTTAAGTATAAAAAAATTATCGACTAATTTCGTTCGTAGCATAAAGCTCTCTCATGAAAAGTTGAAATTTTGCAGATATGTCCTTATTACACTAATGGTGCGAATTTGGGTATAGCTTACTAATTATGATATTTGAAATATAACTTCAATGAACGTAGCTTCAGGGCGACTGTTTATTTTACGTCTAGTACTTAGTATTGCCTCTTTACTAAAACAACTCAATGAAACTAATACCGACATTGCTTCTATTAGTATTTGGGGACAATAAACTGAAGCCTATTACATCAAATTCGTTGCCAATACGTCACAATTCGTGCTATAGGTTATTACTTATTTGGACGTTGAACTCGATTAGTGTTTTCTAATGGAGCTGTTTTTTTCAATGGTTGTAGCTTGAATAAGTAGATTTTTTGTACACAGAGACAATGACACAACAAATCCCAATATGTCAAGCTTACGTAGACACTTTTTGTGATTAATCAGTCAGTCATCATCCTTTTTGTGATTCATCAGTCAGTCATCATCATCAACTTCTTTACGGAGAGAGTTTCGGCCATAAATGCTGGCACGATGCCATTAGGGTCATTATACTTTTTCCAAAGATTGTGAACCTTCTTCGACGTGCAGGTATTGCTACTAAACATTTACAAAAATGTACCGAAACTTTAAAAAATAAGATACAACCGTTTTTTTTAAATTTATGTCTCACAGTGACGGGCGCAGTGCCACTCACTACCCCTCAGATCATTGTGATTTGAAGCTTTGAGTGGCACTGCAGTTGTTATGGACAGGCGTGACGCTTACCACCAGGCGCACATCTTGTTCGTCCCGACACTTGTTATCTAAAAAAACTTGTTACCAAAACCCATTAACGAGATCGTGTATATCTACCTGACGGGTTAAATTTATTTCATAACCTTGAATTCGAGTTCTTCAGTCTACGTTCCCGACTCCCCCTGCCAGCGCAACAAATCAGTAATTTGTTTTAATCGGTTGCTAGTACTTTTGCTTTGCATGGTGAGAATTTCAAAAACAAAATAAATCTTCAAGTGACGTTTACATTATATGTCACGTATGCCAGCTAACTATTCAATTACATCATCCGTAAATAGATATCGCATATCACGTTGAACGAACATCCGACTCGGTTTATCGATAACCATATCGACAATCAGACTGATTACGTCAAACTAGTACAAAAACTATGACTAATACTCACAAGTTCATTATCCTTCGCATATTTTGTTCTATTTGTGTTTGCAAACATTATGTGTGCGTAAAACAACTTGACCATTGTTCGGATGTATATGAATTATTCATACAAAGTTTACAGCTAATTTAAATATTTTCACTACAGTGTTTGATTAATTGCTAAACTAATGTTATTTTTATTGTTTATTTATAAAATTTTACACGCTAAAGAATCTTCACATACATTTTTCTACCTGTGAGAGGAGTGGGAAGTGGCTCGATGATGCTGAAAATAAATTACAATACATTAAGGGTTTTACTTAGTGTGTAGTACGTAAGACTTAACTTCAACTCTACCTACGCATACGCTTTGCAAAGAAGTCCAAAGTTGTTTTTCCAGATTTATGTGCTCGTGACTGTATACCCATTACAATCAAGACCGACATTTTGATGTAAAAACGGAAGCTTTAGATTTGATTACTCCACTGAAACACAAATAGATAAGTCGTTCTAATGGATATCACTCATCGCTTCAAATACATTTTGCAAAATTGTATATCATCTAACATTGCAGTTCATAAGGCATTGAGCTAGAGCCTATAAGGCGTCTTTTGCTGCATTATGGGTGTATGTTCGTCTTGTAATTTATGCTTGTAACTGTAATGTATTACTCAAAACGGATCTATTATAAAAGCGGTACTCTACCATTACCTTGTCGAAGCATGGCACTTCCAAGTCCCACTGCAGTGTTTTGTTATTTCATTATAATAAGAATCTGCCGACTGTTATCAAAGCAAAACCAATTTATTTTTGTCATTTTGCAAAGTATATTTATTAATGGACCACTGAAATTTAAATAAATGATTTTTCTGGACTTGACAGAGTTCTTTAATATCTGATTGTACAAAATAGTTGAATTGGTCTTTATAGGTTATTAATTAACATATAACGGAATTGGTAAAGTTTAATTACACTTAGAAGAAGCAGTAGAGCTAGCTCATTTAACTGCCTCCTTGGCCGAACGCAGAGGTCCCAGGTTCGATTCTCGGGTCGGGAGAAATATTAGTATAGCTTACATTTATTTATTTACTCGTGAGTTTTATTTATTTTATATATATTTATTTACTTTTGAGTTTTATGTAATTTGTGGTTGTCTATGTGTGTGTCCATGGCACACGTGATACAGGGTTTCCCTAGTGCGGAGCTATGTTGAGTGTCACATCGTCTTAGTTTTAGAATAATTTTTTTTTTTTTACTGTCCAATTTTTTTAATATATTTTTTTTAATATGTAAAATACTTTCAGGTTGTATTTAAGTCCTTCGGCTGTTGCTTTCGTAACTTGGTATCTGCTCACAAATCAGAAATGATTTAAGCAGACAATACATAAGCAACAACAACCACAACCAACATTGTCAACTATTCATTAGTCGCTACTCTTTTGTAGTAAATGTTGTTTTTTGTTTATGTGTTATTTGCTCGTAAGTACGATGCAGAAACAATTTCTATCAAGTTTCAACGGTGCTATAAGTGCTCTGAAATGGTTAAAGTATTGAAAAATAGTAGAGAATATTGTTCCTATATGTAATATTTAAAGAAGCATATGAATTATATTTTTGTTTACATTATATGAAGTTGTAATAAAATATTTAATATTTAATGGAAGAGTGACAAACAGAGAGTGACAGATGAAAAATAGGTATTATAAACAATTTATGTGTATCCACGGCACCCGCGACACAGGATTTCCCTATGTTGAGTGTGTGCGTTATTATTATTATTATTGTGAAAGAGTTCGTCCAAGGAAATATTGCCTTACCTACTGCCTAACCTTACCTATTTCTGCCGCCATACAGTAATATCAGCATTACCGTGTTCCGGTTTTGAAGAATAAGGGTGCTGGTAAAATTACAGGCACATGGGACTTGTCAACTTACGTCTCAGGGTGACGGACGCAGTGGCAGTGCCCCTCAGATATTTGCGATTTAAAGCTCTGAGTGGCACTGCAACTGTCGTACACAGGCGTGTAGCTTACCATCAGGCGCACGACTTACCCGTTCCGACACCAGATATTATAAAAAAAAGATAAACTGAGAAGGCTCTTTTTTGTCCTGGATTTTTGGATTCGGCAAATCACTTAGGTACATAAAAATTGACGTTATTTGGCACAAGTAGGTAGAGTATATTTGTTATAATTATTAATACAAAGATCGAACACTCAGAAAAAATTCCTTCGATCCGGTTGGATTCGAACCGACGTCTTCTTGCATACCGTGCCAGACGCTATACCAACTAAGCCACGGAACGAACCAACGGACCTCACGAATTTTTCTATGTGCTTGCGTCGTGTCTTTGTACTTGGTCTTTCAACGACTTTTTAGTCGTAGCGCCATCTATGAGAAATCTATTACAGATTTATCACCCAGTTAGTACCTTTACAGCTACCAGTCCTGGCGAGAGATGTCGCTGTTCACTGTATTAATCAAATTTTTGAGGTCAAAAAATTCGTGAGGTCCGTTGGTTCGTTCCGTGGCTTAGTTGGTATAGCGTCTGGCACGGTATGCAAGAAGACGTCGGTTCGAATCCGACCGGATCGAAGGAATTTTTTCTGAGTGTTCGATCTTTGTATTAATAATTATAACAAACTAGTGAAGTAATTTCACAAAAAATAATTGAATATCAATTTAATAAAAATTTGATTAATAGAGTATATTTATCAAAAAATGCCATCAAATATTAAAGCAATTTCTTATTCTTTTTTATTTTAACTAAATAATAGACATACCCTTGGCCACTTCATCTGGTGTGAAATGATATTTTGATAATTATTACATATTTTAGTAATTATTGTAATAAATGGTCAAGTAAAACTAAACAGGAGTGGCTTGTTTACCTTTTTGTTTCTAAACAAATCGCCTATACATTGTTCCTTTGTTTCATTTCATAATTATACATTTGTATTCCAGGTACCTGTCGCGTCGTGGTTCGACGACATGACTGACTCAGAATTGTTGGACTTAATACCGTTTTTCGAGAAACTAAGCAAGGTGGATAGTGTGTATACAGTGTTGCGGAATTCGAACCACCCTTACAACCCGACACAGAATAACTCTCCGCCTACATAGCGGCTGTTGGTGTCGTCCGCCCCCCGCCCGCTGTGTCTGCATCCCCCTGCCCACCGCGGTAGAGTGCGCAGTGCATGCGCGCAATGCGAGGCCCCCCCGGTCGTTCCGCCCCCCACGCATCCAGTAGCAACCTTCCTCGAAACACTCATAAAGAAAGGAGCTAACTTCGTCTTAAGTGCCAATTTTGCCTTCTGGATAGTAAGGACGTTATTTATACCTATTTTACAGTTTAGGTATTTCTTAGTGCGTAAGTGGTCTGTATGATGGATTTGTGATTTTTTTAATGATTATGTTTTGTTTTATTAACACTCGCTAGTAAGCTTGCGGTTCTACGCGTATCTTTGATTCGAACTTTGAAAAACATATATTAATGGACTACAATCGCGAATAAAAGTTTTAAAATAATGTACCTCTATAACTGAGAATTCTAATTGAACACTTTTTATATCGTGCTTGGGATCAAATATGAATAAGTTAGTGTATTTTCGTCTATTCGAAACAGCCATAATATCGTTTTCGCCTCGATGTTGTCATTAACGCAAAATGTGTAATTATGAATGAAATCCTTTCGCGCTTATGAATTGGGGACATTAATCGACAATAATGTGAATCTTAAGAGAATGTCGGCATGTAATAGGATGTGTTAGATACTTGCTAATTAAGTTCCTGTCTGTTTATTGGAGACAACAATACTTTTTACTAACAATTATGGCTTATTATCATCCATAAAGCATGCATGTTGATCTGCAGGCTGGGTGCGTTTCCGCTCCCGACAGCGGTCTTATTAGAACAATTTAGAAAAATGAGCGAATAAAGACTATAAATCTTCTCTTTGTATAGGGCAGGATTTGAAATTATCAAGATGTTTATTTTGTTTGATAATTATCATGATAATTATATCATCCGATAATTATCCGTGATTATTCATAGATTCATTGAAATAGAAAACTAAATAAACGTTAAATAACATCTTTAGGAAAACGATTTGGTTTGTAACTTTTTGAGATTGACTCAAACTCGTATCTTATAAAGAGTGAGTTGTCAGGAGATGACAAAACTTTCTATTTATTTTAAATTTGTTATCAAGGGTGTTAGTTTAGATGCATTACTTCAAGAATAGGTGAAAGCCAGTGTGTGAATATGAAGAAAATGTGTGTGAAATCGGCCTGCAAACGAAAAAAATTGTTTGCATCATTTATGTAGCATCTGGTTTATTAAATAAAAATGTATAGCGTATGTGTAATCAAAATATTTAAAAACTACGCATTTTATTTAATAAATCATATGCTATATAAATGACACAAACAATTTTTTTCGTCATCTTGAAAAATTGTCAAAATTGAGATAGTACCGAACGACCGCCAGTTCACAGTCGGTATACAATCAATTGCCTTTCAGTAACCTTGTGCTTTAAGATACGAGTTTGAGAAAGTAAGGCGACTTGACACGTTTGAATACGTCTCTGTTACAAACAAATGGCACGACATTGCTAGAGGTAGCATTTTGTTGTTCCAATTTTATAAATATCAAGATAATTTATCAAAATATATTTATCGCGATAATTATGACTTCGAACCCTGATATAGGGCAACAATGCCCCTAATTATGAATTGTATTCTCCTGAAATTTCACATTATTCTAGCTTAAACAATAATCCCCTACGCAATAAAGTTGACGTGTAAATGTGTTTAAATTAAATCGATAGACTTTGAACATAATCACGAATTTTATTCGACTGGTAATTAACAGTAAGTGGTATCCAGCACTAAGTGAATTTTAATATATGTGTAAATATTATTTTATAATCGTAACATTTGACTAATAATTGCCGCTTCAATCGTGTTACATTAAACGCTGTACCCGCGGCGCTTTTTGAAAAAGTTCTAGATGACATTTTAGGGTACTTTTTAGTCATGAAAATAAATTTGAGTTTGTTTAATAGTAGAATTGAGTACAATTGTTGAATACAATAATTTTCTGACGTCATCAACAGACGACGGTGCTGTAACATTGCCTTATAGCGCAATTATGTATTTTTTCTTAAATTTATTAAAAAATTAAATCCTGTAAATAATAATTAATTTTAATGAAAAAGGTCATCGTCGTCATGTTTATTTCAACCTTATTAACATTTTAAAAAAGACCGTGGCAACCGTATCCAAAACTAACAAGCGTGTATAAAAAAAAACCTTAACGCGTGCGGTGACAGATCTCGGCAGAGTCCACATTGCTCGAGACAGACGTGACTATAATTATACAACGAATGTTAGTGAAATTTAAAAAGAAAGTAACAAATACTTTTCAATAATAGAAGGTAATCTGTCGTCCAAACTGTTCAAGAAAATATCAAATGTTGAGCATTTTCGATGGCTAAATATTACCCTATATTCTACACTTTCACAATCAGCCGGCAAAAAGCGTATAAATAATGTATATAAATTACATGAAAATAAAATATAAGGATCGTACCAGATGTAACAGCACTTAAGGTGAACACGCACTATCTTTGACTGATATTACATTGACTAATTATTGTCAAAAATAGCACTTCAAAACTATTGCTTACATCTTATATTGCTTTAAAAAAACTTTAGTTCACGCCTCCAATCATGGTCGGTTTTATTATAAAATTTAGATGTTCATGTGATTTGGCCAACTTTCTGTTAAAATCAATGAAATAATAAAACACCAAAGTATTATTCTACTTTATAATTCAAAATAAAGTCAGTCCAATAAAATATCGACTTAGCTAATGTAATATCAGCCAACATAAAGGTCTGTGCACACTAAGGATGTACTTTGTTGTGTACTTACCTTTATACAGATTAATTTTCCTAAACATTTTGTATTGGTGACAATAAAAGTCAATCGCGTGTGTCATATGATTTAATTAAATGAATTATTGATTAAATAAAAAAACACGGGTTAATTTAGGCCGTATTAATAAATCTATCTCAAGTGCAGGATCAATGTTAATTGAAAGTTAATTGTTTTTATTATTAAGCATTGAGTGCACAACTACGGTAATTCATGATTTGAGAATGTTCGCAATTTACATTTGATATTGGTTAATGATCTCATCCAAGATGCCGATGATTATAGTCTGTTAATGCAGACGCACTTAATACTAGACTTAAGAGAGGTTTATTAATACGGGCTTTAGTATCAGATCGATTTGGCATCTAAAGGCGTATTCTTATCTCATAAAAGCTATAAATACAGCTGTGTTTAACAAAAATAAGATTTGAGATGTAATAATCGTTCATTTATGAAAAATCAAAGTGCAGCGATATAAATATAAATACGAACTTCAAAAATGGCACGGATCAAGCATACCATTTTAATAAGAGTTTTTTTTAACAAAAGTTGTTGTTTGTGATGTTAGTATTTCACAAAAAACGAAACCCTGTATTTGTGACTCCCAATGTAGACCAAAAAAAGCCTTAACCTTCAATATTCTCAAAACTTTTGTAATTCGTAAAAATGCTTGTTACAAGGTCAATAAAGCTGCCGCATGCAACAGCTAGGTACTTTATGAGAGCAGAATACGTTGTACGTATAGTCAATAACCATCACTCAGTATTAACACTAGATATGTAGTATTCGATGCCATTTACAGGATAAATACTACTTAGTTTACTTTTCAGTCTAAATTTCAAACATGCTTTAAAGGATTACGTGTTTAAGAATTGCTGCACAAGGCGCTGTATCTATGGAACAAAAGTTGTGAAACCTGATTTGTTCTCTGGTCTTGTGGTTAATGAATAATTTCTTATAATCAGTACAATTTGTCCTTTTTCTGACTGACTAGCATTAGGCAAACGTATTTTCGGTTTAGCTTTTAACATTTTGAGCTGTAGCCCATGTCAAATGTGGTCCTTCTCTGAATATTCGTCTATCAAAAAACTACAACGATTACCGTCAAGTGGAATAACGTAACTTTTTAACATAACATAACTTTGTAAAATTGGTTTGAAGATTCTTTTTTCTCAAAAAATTTGTGGTCGGAAGGACCGACTGTTCTAGAGGTGAAATGTTATGTAACATTAACACTGTCAAAGAAGTTTCGAGGGTACGTGCATTTTCCGTTTGCGGTATTCAGGTGTTCAATGAGTATAAAATGTGTCTGCTTCAGTTCCTTTTTGCGCCTACTAAATGGTAAATGGTATCCCCAAGTGATTAGTAAATTGTTCGCATTGACAAGTTTATTTAGTTACGACTTTTGACTTTTTAGATTTTCACTGTCTATTCAGTCCAAAATTATTCTATTCAAAGGTACCTAAAAGTCAGAGTAACTTTGAACGGCCGCTTGCGCAATTGTCTCAAACAGTTTTTTTTTTCTAATTAGTAATTTCAGTTCAGTTATTCTAAATTTGTGTAAGAAAGGACACTCATTTATCAATAAAACCTATTTCGAACACATTTTTATTTTAATATCCGTAAAAACTTGAGAAAAGTCTTCAAGTTACCCAACTTGACTGTAATCGAGAACGTTCGCTTTTGAAAGATTTATGATAAATGTGTCAGATATGGCAGTTAGCGAGAGCAAGGACGAATTGACATCGCAACTGTATTGACTTTGATGCAGTTCGTAGAAGCAGTTGATTTGCGTAACATCTTTGATTTCTCATCCTCTAGATTTCGCCTTACGTGTGGATGATTCTTAAAAAATATTAAATGCTTATGAAAAAAAATTTAAAATTATGACGGATTTGTATAAGATTTGATTAATTAGGGAATATGAAATGGTGCTTTCAGTATTAGTTGATTAAGCGACTTGAAATTCGACTGTAAGTACCCTTATAGCACTATAAAACGCACATTAGGCTCTCAATTCGATTTTTTATTGGTTTATTTTTCCGAGTGACATAATTGGCTTAATTGTTTAAGTAATTTTCTCGGCGATAATGTAATCTTTTAACTCACAATTTTCGCGGGCTTAACAAGAGCCCCCTATTTATTGTTTTATTCCTAATTGCTTAGCAAAGGTTTATTGTTTTTTTTATTATTATTATAATTATATTTAAACAACCATTTATTGTTGTGGTAGGCGTGTAAATAAGATTTTTATTGATTATTAACTTAAATTGTAATGGTAAAGCTCGATTTTAATATTTGGTTTTTACGGAATCCTTATTTTCATAATGTACATGTTAGTTTGTTATTTAGTGACTACAGATATGTATATACCCTATACATATAATTTACTAGGTTTATGCTAATAGTAGGTATATCCACTTCCTTATAGAGTCGCCGCCTTTTGGCTGTCTCCTGTTTCAAGCGGCACTTGGGTGTAGAAGCTCATTTTAATATGTTACTCGTATAATCAAAGCAACAACCGATAAACATTGACGTTTACACATATTTACTGTGACACCTTTTGAATTTGCCGTTGCCGTTAATATACAATCAAACCAATCTGTCTTGAGCTCTAAACCATTACGCTTGAAACAGCGCATGACCTTCGACTTACGATCCACGTAAAACCAATATGTAAGTGACATGTTTTCATAAAACATCATAATTAAACATCAACCAAAATCTCATAAAATAAATAGATATTATTGAACCATTATGGCACTAAAAGACTGTCAAGTGAATTTAGAACCTCGCCGCATGGCGGAACCAGTTACACTGACAGCACGAACAATGCTGTCAAATTCAATAGTAGCGCCATTACAAAGGATCAATAAGTAACTTGTCAGGCTCTAAAATTAAGAACCTTGAACATAATTTTCTACGATTCCAACTTTTCTACAAAAACCATTCGTGTTCGACATGCCTGCATTGTAAAACTATAGACTTTCAATAGAATTACTTCGAAATCTCTGGAGTAGACATGTGTTGACAACAGCCCGTAGACCATTTAGACAGCATTTATTTGTAAGCATTAACATTTAGCTTAGAATGTTATAGTAATATATATGTTGATTTCTCTAGTTGTAAGCATATTCTGTTGTGTAAACAATGTTTTTTTAAACTATATTTTAACTTAGGCGTACTAGGACCCTCCCTGTGAAGTAACTTAGTGCTACATTTTGTAAATTTTGACTCTAGAAATCGTCCAACAGCGTTAAACTAAGAAAACTTTTATTGTTAATTTTTTTATTTAAATTTAGATGCATGCAATAAACTTCGATTGATATTTTGCTAATAATTATGAT